ACAGTAGAGCATAGCAGAGTACAGTAAAGTAAAGTATAGTGTACTGTATTGTACCCTACTTTAATGTAATCTACTCTACTGAAATAAAATGTACTGTACTGTACCATACTTTACTGTATTATACTGTACTCTACTGAATAAAACTCTACTGTCCTGTACCGGTCCATACCATAATATGATTCGCTCAGATTTGGATCTGGTCTGCACCGACCAAATGTGTACTTGTTTGGAGGTGGTGCACATTAGAATAATACCCAACATGCTTTGCAAGTGTTTGTTTTTACATTTACATTTTGGACATTCAGCAGACACTCTTATCCAGAGCAACTTACAGTCACTGCATTCAATTAAGGTAGATAAACAACAACCTATCACAGTCATAAATCTGTTACTGAGAATGTTACTGAGAATGTTATTGTCTGTTATTGTCTGTTTATTCTGTAGGTTGGAACACTTTGAACATCATTGTTTTTGAAAAAGCTAGCATATGTGCATGTGACAGATGGGAGCAATAATACATATTCTGTTGCAATCTTCAGTTAGCTCCTCTTTCCTATATTAAGAGGCTTGAAAAATTATTATTGTGATATAATGCTTACTTCAATGAGAATATATGTGCAGTTGGAATTTGGCCTTAGAATCTGTAAATGACATATTTTCAACATCTGGAAAATAGGTATTTTTGATGTCCGGAAAATACGTATTTTCACCTTTTATTCGGCACCTAAAATGCACCTGACTTCAACGTCTGGAAAAAAACATATTCTCAACGTCCGGAAAATACATATTTTTGACATTCAGAAAATACGTATTTTCACCTTTCATTCAGCACCTGAAATGCATCTGACGTCTGGAAAATACATCTAAAATACGTAATTTTGATAAATGGGTAGGCTTCTGGCAGGTTTTTGCTGTGGTACAGCAAAGCCAATCAAGCAGTGCTCATGGTTCACACAGGGGAAGTGAAATGATAGGCTACAATGACTTTGCTCATGATCGTGGATGCTGCAAATGACATCACTATAAGTTCCTTGAATTTCCTTTCTCCTTTCTGCCTTTTCATTATCTGGATTGATACTTGAGCGTGGAGCGTGTAGTGAAGCAAAACTTTAGTGGTCAAAACAGTTAATCTTGGGGTAATGGGGGGAGCGGGTTTGCAAAATGCGATCATATCACGCAATTATACCATTTATAAAATGGTCAGATATATATACAGCACAGTACAGTATATATATATATATATATATATATATATATATATATATATTGTAATACAGACTAGCTAAAGAAATGACTGAAAATGTACAAATTATCTAATGAATTATGATAATATTCGGGTTACAAAAATGTGGAGGTGCAAATATTTAAGTTTCCACCCCTATTTCAATTTGCTCCATGGCTCAGGCAGCCAAGTGGACACAAGGCTGTTTGGCTCATCTCAGTCCTGAAGAGGAATACATTTGCAGCTGTCTCTGATTAATAAACAATGCCATGCTGGTGGGTGGTAACATTCAAATAAAACGCAGCCCTGAAACGAAACATAAGCTGAAAAAAATGTGAATGTCATATCATAGGAAAATACATCGCATTCACACGGATTTGCACGAAGTGGGCAGTTCGGATTTGTCAGTTCAAGCCCAAATATACACTACATGACCAAATGTATGTGGACACCAGCTCATCGAACATATCATTACAAAATCATGGGCATTAATATGGAGTTGGTCCCCCCTTTGCTGCTATAATAGCCACACTTCTGGGAAGGCTTTCCAATAGATGTAGGAACATTGCTGCGGGGACTTGCTTCCATTCAGCGACAAGAGCGTGAGTGAGGTTGGGCACTGATGTTGGGCGATTAGGCCTGGCTCACAGTCGGTGTTCCAATTCATCCAAAAGGTGTTAAATAGGGTTGAGATCAGGGCTCTGTGTAGGCCAGTCAAGTTCTTCCACACCGATCTCGACAACCCATTTCTGTATGGACATCACTTTGTGCACGGGGGCATTGTCATGCTGAAACAGGAAAGGGCCTTCCCCAAACTGTTGCCACAAAGTTGGAAGCACAGAATCGTCTAGAATGTCATTGTACAGTTGTGGTCAAAAGTTTTGAGAATGACACAAGTATTGGTCTTCACAAAGTTCGCTGCTTCAGTGTTATGAGATATTTTTGTCAGATGTTACTATGGTATACTGAAGTATAATTACAAGCATTCCATAAGTGTCAAAGGCTTTTATTGACAATTACATTAAGTTTATGCAAAGAGTCAATATTTGCAGTGTTGACCCTTCTTTTTCAAGACCTCTGCAATCTGCCCTGGCATGTTGTCAATTAACTTCTGGGCCACATCCTGACTGATGGCAGCCCATTCTTCCATAATCAATGCTTGGAATTTGTGCGTTTTTGTTTGTCTACCCGCCTCGACCACAAGTTCTCAATGAAATTAAGGTCTGGGGAGTTTCCTGGACATGGACCCAAAATGTCGATGTTTTGTTCCCCGAGCCACTTAGTTCTCACTTTTGCCTAATGGCAAGGTGCTCCATCATGCTGGAAAGGGCATTGTTCTTCACTAAACTGTTCTTGGATGGTTGGGAGAAGTTGCTCTCGGAGGATGTGTTGGTACCATTCTTTATTCATGGCTGTGTTCTTAGGCAAAATTGTGAGTGAGCCCACTCCTTTGGCTGAGAAGCAACTCCACACATGAATGGTCTCAGGATGCTTTACTGTTGGCATGACACAGGACTGATGGTAGCGCTCACCTTGTCTTCAAGGTGATTTCCAGATGTCCCAAACAATCGGAAAGGGGATTCATCAGAGAACATGACTTTACCCCAGTCCTCAGCAGTCCAATCCCTGTACCTTTTGCAGAATATCAGTCTGTCCCTGATGTTTTTCCTGGAGAGAAGTGGCTTCCTCGCTGCCCTTCTTGACATCAGGCCATCCTCCAAAAGTCTTCGCCTCACTGTGCGTGCAGATGCACTCACACCTGCCTGCTGCCATTCCTGAGCATTCCTCTGCACTGGTGGTGCCCCGATCCCGCAGCTGAATCAATTTTAGGAGACCGTCCTGGCGCTTGCTGGACTTTCTTGGGCGCCCTGACGCCTTCTTCACCACGATTGAACCTCTCTCCATGAAGTTCTTGATGATCCGAAAAATGGTTGATTTAGGTGCAATCTTACTAGCAGCAATATCCTTGCCTGTGAAGCCCTTTTTGTGCAAAGCAATGATGATGGCACGTGTTTCCTTGCAGGTAACCATGGTTAACAGAGGAAGAAGAATGATTTCAAGCACCACCCTCCTATTAAAGCTTCCAGTCTATTATTCTAACTCAATCAGCATGACAGAGTGATCTCCAGCCTTGTCCTCGTCAACACTCTCACCTGTGTTAACGAGAGAACCACTGACATGATGGCAGCTGGTCCTTTTGTGGCAGGGCTGAAATGCAGTGGAAATGTTTTTTGGGATTAAGTTCATTTTCATGGCAAAGAGAGACTTTGCAATTAATTGCAATTCATCTGATCACTCTTCATGACATTCTGGAGTATATGCAAATTGCCATCATCAAAACTGAAACAGCAGACTTTGTGAAAATTAGTATTTGTGTCATTCTCAAAACTTTTGACCTTTTGATATGCTGTAGCGCTAAGATTTCCCTTCACTGGAACTAAGAGGCCTAGCCCGTACCATGAAAAACAGCCCCAGACCATAATTCCTCCTCCACAAAACTTTACAGTTGGCACTATGCATTGGGGCAGGTAGCATTCTCCTGGCATCCGCCAAACCCAGATTAATCAGTCGGACTGCCAGATGGTGAAGCTTGACTCATCACTCCAGAGAACACGTTTCCACTGCTCCAGAGTCCAAGGGCGGCAAGCTTTACACCACTCCAGCCGACGCTTGGCATTGTGCATGTTGGTCGTGGGCTTGTGTGCGGCTGCTCGACCATGAAAACCCATTTCATGAAGATCCCGACGAACAGTTATTGTGCTGACGTTGCTTCCAGAGGCAGTTTGTAACTCGGTAGTGAGTGTTGCAACCGAGGACAGACGATTTTTACGGACTACGCACTTCAGCACTTGGCGGTCCAGCTCTGTTAACTTGTGTGGCATAACACTGAGCCATTGTTGCTCCTCGGCGTTTCCACTTCACAATAACAGCACTTACAGTTGACTGGGCAGCTCTAGCAGAACTGACTTGTTGGAAAGGTGCCATGTTGAAAGTCACTGAGCTCTTCAGTACACTATCAGCAACGGGTGTGGCTGAAATAGCCGAATCCACTAAATTTGAAGGATTGTCCACATACTTTTGCACATATAGTGTATCATACTTTGACTAAAGACTTAAATCGTTGTGCAACATCATGGGTAAACTCTGGCCATCGTCTTTCAGCTAGAAAAAATGGATTTACTGGTGTGGGTGTTTAATCACAGAATTAACAAGGTTATCTAACCTATGTATAGTCAATCAATAGCATTTACTGTAGCCCATAAAACCTACATTATACTGTATTTTTGTTTTGTTTTTATATATTTATTGTTTTACATTTGAATATAGAGTAGCCCAAACAACAAATAGTTAGACCTGCACGTCCCACATTTCGTTATTTTGTTGAATATGTTTGGTATAATGCAATAGGCCTACATAATGCACAGGTAGAAAGGCGTGCCCATCAGTTTAATTGCATGCGAAATAAGTCCTCGAGATGAATTTTTATGAACTTTAGCCTAGTCATCATCCTGAACGGGTTTTTCTCTTCAGGGACAGACTGACATGGATTACACCAATAAGAGAGCCTCTGAATGAAAAGGAAATATAAAAAGAACCAATCACCGCAATCATGTGTAAATCTGGGGAGGTTCCTGATACTACCAGGACCTACAATCGAAACTCTGAACTCTATTGATACGTGTGTGCCTGCAGTCACTGCTTCGAATTATTTGATAGATTGTAACATACTTCTGTTCTGGATTCACATTCATATCAGATATATTTATTGAAAAGATAAATGGAGGATAAAGGCGAGAACGGACACGCTGTAAAATACTACCGACTGTCAGAAATCGAGGAACGGAATTCATTCAAGAGTACATGGATTATAATCAACCATAAAGTCTACGATGTCACCACATTTCTGGAGGAGGTGAGAAAATTGGGCTAAACGAATGGTTCATTTTATAGCCCATCAATTTTTACTTGATTTAGGCTGATCCATAATAGCCATCAACAGGTCAATTTTTCTCAGTAATCATCCATGGCAACATTTCATACCATTGTGTGCGAAGTCAATAAATACTTTTTAATTATGGAGGATAGGGAGATCAGCGCACGAACGTTGGAATTTTTATTTTATTTTTTATCTTAAACGCTTGATTTGTTACCCGCACTATAAACCTGGCCTCAAAGACTAGACGTAACACAGTAAACGTAAATCTGTTACATTCAAATTAGTATGATAGCCTATGTTATGTTTCTTATGGTTACATAAGGCAGAAGGTTACTTAACCCTGACCTAGTCCACAGTATTACAGTAGTAGATCAGAGGACAGCATGTAGTGTTAGGGTTTAACCCTGACCTAATCCACAGTATTACAGTAGTAGATCAGAGGACAGCATGTAGAGTGTTAGGGTTTAACTATAGTTTTTTGACACACCTGTGCATCACATGGTGATGTCATGTTGAACATTGAATAGCTCCCTGTGTGTTTATGCTAGAGACTTACCATTTATTGTAGTAGCTGCAGTGGCTGCAGTATAGAGCTCTTCACGGATGCACCTGTACCTGAATACCCGAGACCAGATCCGGGACCCGTCTGGGTCGGAGCTGATATGATTGTCACGGGTCTCGGGTATGTGTAATTTTAACTGACCCGTACAGATCTGAATGTGACTGCTGCAGTAGAGGGAGGGAGAGACATTGTATAATTTATGCTGCTATTCTTTGCTTTTCATGAGTGGCGCGTGTCGCTTGTTGTTGTAGAGGATCTACGGTCATAGAGCCTCCGTGTGTGGTAAAAGTTAGGGAATATCTCATCAATGGAGGAAGATGGAATTAAAATGATGGAATTAAAAGTTAAAGGAGAAGGATAGGCTACAACGACCAAGAGCCAACAGGTAGGCTGCTACTTTACATTCTGAATGGAGTTGTTGTTGTTTGTAACTGTGTTGGACAAGAAAGCGCATGCAGCCTCAATTAGCCTAGCTAGCTAGCTTAACTAGCTTCTCCTGGTTTGATGCAGTCAAGACGGGTACTACGTAATCATATTGGATGATAAATAACCTAGCTATGGCAGCTATTAGTCTATTATAGCGCGAGTCGGCTTGGTTGGTTGCTGTCTCTCATCTCTCCCTCCTCCCTGTTCCCGTGTCACTCGCACACAGCTCCGGTTTTAATAAAGTAGCTTAAAAATGGACTTTTCTGCTTCTTCTCTCACTCGAACTGGGTATAGTGAGTAGTGATGGGGGGAAAAAAACAATACAGATAGATATTGGGATATTATTTTTGTACCTGCATCAAAACTCCAGTATTTTTCCTTCGTAGCTTCTTCTCCATCTTCTTTTTAAATAGGGAGCTTTTTTTTTTCAGCACTTGTATTTCCATGACTGATCAAAACTTGTTTTCTCATGGCTCTCTCTTGGCTCTCTGCAGCAGACATATGGTGAGCAAGATGTTTGGAACATCGAATCGCAGTAAAATCACAGTATCGAATCGCAATAAATATAGAATTGTGAGAATTGCAATTAGGGATGGGCATTTGAACTTTTTTGACTGTTCGAATACCCGCATAATTTTTTTTAGAGTACTTGGCCTGCACTGGAAAAAAATATGTGCGCGTTTATCAATATGCCAACCGTGAGCAACAATGGCTTATTTATCATAACCATTACAGATATAGAATCCTAAATGCTGAATTGCCTCATATATTCAGTAATTTAAGATTCATTTATTGAAACAATATATATTATATTGTGGAAGACAATCTTTAAAAAGGTAGTAACCTCAGCAGTGTAGCACTTGCTTGTAGAAGCCTATGGCTGTGCAATGGCATAGCCTTGTTTTGTTGATTTAGCAGACAACTGTTATTTCCCATCCTTATCACAGTCAAAACACACCTATTTTATAGTAAACAACATGATGTAATATAACAGAATAAAATATAACAGAATAGTGCAAAGTGACGCATATCTTGCATCTGGAAGTTATTCTCAGAGTGCTAATTTGAAAGTGGCTCAATTTGGCGATTTTGAATGACACATTTTTCAGGGTTACAAACCAAAATCTATTATTTTCGATATACAGACGTTCAATTTAGTTTATTCTGCCTGTTCTTTGCAATTAAAAAAATGGATTAACAATTCCACTTTGAACACTGCATGGGGATGAATTATGGCCACGACATCTGTTTGGTGAGTAGGCCTATGCTTAATAATTCTGATGAAAATACGCTCTTTGTCGTTATCAAACTAATATTTTTGCGTATTTTCAGTGCAGAACCTGTCTATGTTTAGGGGGTTATAGCCTAGGCTAATCAATTCTAAATGACACTAATTTGCAAAGTAGGGGTCATCACTAGTTACCACAGCCACAAAGTCATAAACCCTGCCTATTTCTAAAATGTATTTTCTTAAAATCAGATTTTAAACCTAACCATAACCACACTTCTAACCACATGCCTAACCTTAAATTAAGGCCAAAAAGCAAATGTTTGTGTTCATAAATTTTTTACGATATGTGACCCGTTTCAGGAAACTAGGCGTATGTCGCGGGTCACTACTTCACAGGAGAGCCATTTGAACGTAAACTTTAAAAAAAAGTCTAAATGTGTTTTTTGGCAGAAATGCCTTCTCGAACATGTGAACTTTCATGTGCCTTAATAACAAACTTGTATGCCATCTTTAAATACGAATAAAACATTTAAATTACGAGCCTAGTTGGTTTAGCGAAAGAAAAAGACAGCAACCTTCCCACTAGCCATGATTGGCTGAGATAATGAGTGGGCTGGACATGCCGAGAGATGAGTTTGGATTGGTCTGCCATATAGCACGCTTCTGTCTATTTGAGCTGGTCAGTATGTCCTATTTCTGGAGGACTGAGTTTTGAAATCAGTGGAATTTGAGTATGATAGCTAAGGAGATGGAGAAAACACCTCCGGATTACATCTTCAAGCTAAGGGCAACCATGGCATCCGACAGGAGACTCATCTATCCATGAATTATGTATATGGGTAAGATAGTCTAGCTAGCTACATTTTCAGATATTACACGTTTCAAGTTTTGACAGAAAGAGCCATTTGCTTGAGCCTAATGTTAGCTAGCTAACATTGAACCTGGTTGGTTAGCTACCTGCAGATTCATGCAGGGTAGTAATGTCATGAGTTGTGATTATGGTTCATTGTTTACTTAGCTAGCTAGCTACATGTCTTAACAAAAGACTTCACTATGCAAGTAACCATTTCGGGTGCATTCGTAAATTCAGTCTGGCCATCTACTCCGATTTCAGAGCACTCTCGTCTGAGTGTGCCAGAGCGAAGAATAACTGATGAATTTACGAACGCTCAACACCCGTTGAATACGGCCGGTGTCAGTAAACGTAGTTTAAAAAACATAATTAAGTTGTTGCCAGCAGCACAGTTGCAGTCACCAATGCTGTGGATAACATAACAGCCTAACCAGCTCTGCTAGGGCGAGTAATGTTCAGTGAGCTGTTCTGTCATTTGTGTCTGGAAGTAGCTAGCAAGTTAGCTTGGGTGCTTGACTTCTGTTGTTAGTACAGAACGCTCGGATTAACCCTTAAAGAGATAGGTGGGGCTAAAGCTTAAGAGGGTGTGAACGATGCTGAATGGGTGTAGACAAAGAAGGGCTCTCCAGTAGTAGTACCAAAAGATTCAAAGGTAATTTTCTCAAAATTGAGTTTACAAGTTTATCAACATTCAAAGCAAAATGACTTTCCCATTGTTCCTCAATTGTAGTGTATGATATACCATTTTGTAGCTCCGAGTCTCTACTTTTATCCAATGTAAAAAACACAAATGTCAAATTTTGCTACATAAGACCAATTTGTGCCGGTCGGTCACACATAGCCAATTTTGACTTTGTGGCTGTGGTAACTAGAGACAACCACAAAGTAGCATTTGCGGAAAATGACGCAATTATTCCAAAACTTCAGCTCATTGTTGGAACACATATTTCCGTACTTCAGTCAACCAGTCCATTTTGAATTTGTGACAAAATTGTAGTCATTTGGCAAGGGATGTAGCTTGTGTATCCCATCTGTTAGATATGACTCCCGAGTGGCGCAGTGGTCTAAGGCACTGCATCGCAGTGCTAGCTGTGCCACTAGAGATCCTGGTTCGAGTCCAGGCTCTGTCGCAGACTTCCGTGACCGGGAGACCCATGGGCGGCGCACAATTGGTCCAGTGTCGTCCAAGGTAGGGGAGGGTTTGGCCGGCAGGGATGTGGGTTCGTTTCCCACGGGGGGCCAGTATAAAAATTAAATAAAAATATCAACAACAAAAAAAATAACATGTATGCATTCACTAACTGTAAGTCGCTCTGGATAAGAGCGTCTGCTAAATGACTAAAATGTAAATGTCAATGTTTTTATAGGCATTTATTTCTGTAGGCACACTCAACACGCGTGTGTAGAGGGAGCGGTCGGAACGCAATTGAGTGAGCCACAGAGGGGAAAGGGGATTTATGGAGCAGAACTGTGTGATGCTTGGCTTCTTTTTAGTTGTGTCCTGCAAATGCACATGTATAAATGGAACGATAGAGTCAAAGCAAATTAACGTTGTCTTCAAGATACAATTTCAACCAAATAGTTTTATAATATTTAAAAAATATATGATCTCTGGTCAATGATCGAGTTTTGACGTCAGTTCGATTACTCATGCCTATCCATAATCGCAATACATATCATATTGGCACCTAAGTATCATGATAATATCGTATTGTGAGATCCCTGGCAATTCCCAGCCCTAAAAGTGAGTGATCATAACCATCACCAATGTCGTTTTCTCTCCTGGGTTTCTTTGCACTTTGGATAGACCTAGCTTATTGTTATTATAATGTGGCCTATTGACAATTAGATAAGGCCAGATAAAATAGTATACAAATTAGACGAGTAAAGCTAGCTATCTGATCCGTCCTCTGAAAGACTGGGTTCAGTCGAGGACACTGAATATCCCCAACAGCTGGCAAGTCACACTTGTCCTGGTTACAGATTAATTTACCCTTTGGATCAGACAGTACAGGGTAGGTAGCTCAGAGGTGAGGAAGGCAGACCAGTAGGCAGAAGGTCGCTGGTTAAAGTCCTATGCTGGGTGATGAAAAGTGGGAACTGAACTGGCAATTGGAAGGCTTCTGGTTTCAGACCATATCCCATATCCACTACTGTGTTGCCCTTGAGCAAGAAACATAACCCTTAACTTCTCCAGGGCTTCTCCAGCGCTATGCTGTTGCTGACTATGTGTTCCCCCAAAATATGTTCTGTATGTTTCTGGGGATTGGGAGCAGAGCAGTGAAGAGAGATGAAGAGCAATGAAGTACTATTCTATTCTACATTGTTCAATTTGAGTAGGGTAAATAGTAGCGTTCAGTTGGGTTTCATGAGGCTACCTTACACAAGAGTTTATAGTGACATTTTAGGGATTTCTTATTTAGGCCAATAACACTCAATAGGTCAAGCATGATAATTCTTACTGTTCCATCGGGTTCAACCTGTTGTGTACAGTCTCCAAATGTAGGTGTGAGTTCAATACCTTTTCACAAGTTTCTATAATGTTATGCAAAAAAAGCTATACTTATGTGTCTTGAATAACGTGTGTAACTAGCAGAATAGGTTTTGCTGAAAGATGATTGTTAAATATGATTTAAACTTGGATAGTTTACTAAAATTACAAATGTACCTAATCTTGTGGATACCTAGTCCAGTGGTTCCCATACTTTTTTTACTCCGCCAACAAGAAGGGTGTGAACAGTTTGTCTCATGAACAGTGCTTGTGCCCATAGAAGTAGATGTGGCACGGGCATGGAATCTTTCCCAATGCTGGAAGGGGGGCTTGAGTGAAAAAGTTTGGGAACCCCTGCCCTAGTCTATGAACACAGAGAACCAGTGATCCAAGATGTGATTTTGTCTATTTAGCTACAGCTTAGCATTAAGGTTTCAGGTAAAACAATGGGAATGGACTCCTAGAATGCATTTAATAAGCCTAAATTGTATAAAAACAACAACTCTGACATGTATAATACAGCACCCAGGTGGAGAGGAGGTCTTGAGAGAGCAGGCTGGCGGCGACGCCACAGAGAGCTTTGAAGATGTCGGACACTCATCAGATGCCAGGGAGATGGCTGCCAACATGGTCATTGGAGAACTACATCCAGTAAGCACTTATTCAGTACCTTAAACCTATCTTTTTAAAGGCTTTACGAACCTTTTGCCTCTGGGGGTGCTCTTGAGCCAAAAGGGGTCCGTCCCCTAAATCATCAGAAATATTGTCCAGAAATGACCTCATTGGACAGAAAGAGGTATACCCAGTGATGTAGTAGTAAAAATAAATAGGTGGGTAAGCGCTAATCGGCGTTCCCGGTAAGTAATGCTCCCTAAACTTTCAATGCATTTTTCCACTAAAGGTGGGTAAACGCTTGAGGAAAATAAAAATGGTGCGTAGCTCACGTTTTACGTACATTTACCCTCCACTACACCACTGGGTACACCTTCCCACACCCATGAGCAAAAGCAAACATTGTTTGCCTGAAAGATTTGTGGTTTCATCAAACTGTCATGAGATAAAAAAAAAAATTGTAATATTATATCATTTATGAACCATACAGCCAATATTCCACCCAACATTTGATGTAAACCATCGATAATACACTCACCGGACAGTTTACATGGGCTGTGGCTTGCTATATAAAGCAGGCAGACAGGCATCGAGATCTCATTGAGATGATTTTAGAATGGGTGAAAAATGAGTGAACCATAAGCGATTGAGCGTGGTATGATCGCTATCTGCAGGTTGCGCCGGATCCATATCAGAAACGTTTGCCCCATGGGTTGTAACGCTAGCAAGTTTAACCGAGAAGTGTGACAAACAAAAACATACCAGTCATGCATCCTGTGGCAAAACCATGGAAGTCAAGCAGAAGCAAGCAAATTGTTGCCGCAAAGGCGAGCCATAACAGAAAATATGGCGCAGTACAAAAAAGTGGTTTGCAAACGGCATTCGAAGCCAACTTTCGGTCCTGTCAGGATATTGCAGCAACGACCACACTGGGTTGGACTTTATCACTAAAAACAAGAAGAAGTGGCTCCATGGGCACACGATACCACACTGAAATGAGGATGGCAAACATGAGATCGAGGCTTTCGATACTAGTGACCTGCTTAAGGCAGCAAATGATGATGCATCTGGCGTCAGCATGGACCACTTTTCCATGTAGAATCAATGCCCCGAACAATTCAGGCTGTTCTGGAGGGAAAGGGGTTCCGACCCAGTACTGGATGGGTGTACCTAATAAACTGTATCTATGATCTATGAAACAATCAGCAACTAAGCTTCCTTTCTGGATCTCTAACAATGGCTAATGCCGGGAGATTCTTCCTGTAAGGAGGGGTGGCGGGTCTTCCTAGTGATATTGGTACATCCATTTGAATTCAATTACATTTTGACAGCATCCCCTTTGATTTAAACAGACCTTCTATACATATTCACTTTTTGAACCTGAGGGCCAAAACATTCAGGAGAAAAGTGCTCAAAGTTGACCTGTTTTGCATACCCCACCCAACCAGCTCTCACAGTCTCACTTCAGAATCCCTGTTCATAACCAAAACCTACTTGAAGGTAAGAGCGCTCACCGTTGCCCCTAGTGGCCGGTTTCCATGTCATCTCTCGACGTCCTCAGACATGGATGGACGTCGAATACTGACTTGTATCACGGGTGACCTGGCTGACCCCACCATGAGACAGCCATGTCTTCATCGCTGGAAAAGATAAACAGTTGACTTTGATATAATTTTAAAAGCTTACAAACAGGGTTGTCAAACAATTTGAAATTATCTTGGAGAAAAAAAAGGTTTTAATAAAAATGATCTAAAAATGCCTAAACTCTGAATTTTTTCATATTTGCTTATGTTGTAGCTTAGACCCTACTTTACATCATCTGAGGTTTTTATATTTTACCCCCCATCAGTTGAGACAACATGCTTTTGAGTACAGGGTGGGTGTCATTTTAATCATAGAAATAGAACTCATAGAATGGAACTATCCCTTCAGACCACTGCAATTAAGCTGGTACACCATATATGTATTTGTATTTTTATTATTATTTGTACTTTTACCCCTTTTTTTCTCCCCAATTTCATGATATCCAATTGGTAGTTACAGTCTTGTCCCATCGCTGCAACTCCCCTACGGACTCGGGAGAGGCGAAGGTCGAGAGCCGGACTGCTTCTTGACACACTGCTCGCTTAACCCGGAAGCCAGCTGCACCAATGTGTCAGAGGAAACACCGTCCAGCTGGCGACCGAAGTCAGCTTGCAGGCGCCCGGCCCGCCACAAGCAGTCGCTAGAGCACGATGGGATAAGGAAATCCTGGCCGGCCAAACCCTCCCCTACGTATTGGATCACAAAAAAATAAAACTCTACATTACCGTGTAGTTTACCAATAAAATGGTCTGATGGTGATGTGGATATACAGGGTATAAAGAAATGATCTCACTCCAATAAATGTTAATAGAAAGTTAGCAAAAATAGATAAGATCTTGCTACCATGGAAAGGTAAATACCTGTCTTTGTGGAAAAATCACCCTGATTAACTCTTTAGTAATATCCCAGTTTACCTATTTGCTTATGGTCTTGCCTATACCTAGCGAACAGTTTTTTTTTATTATATGAGAAAAATTTGGAACGGCAAGCCAGACAAAATTAAACGGGCCTGTTTATATAATGAATATGGAGGGCAGAAATTGTTAAATATTAAAGCATTAGACCTCTCACTAAAGGCGTCAGTCATACAAAAGGTATACTTAAAACTGAACTGGTTCTCTAGCAAATTAGTAAGAATGTCTCACCCTATGATCACGAATGGCCTTTTTCCCTTTATTCAGATTACAACCTCTCACTTTCAGTTATTTGAAAAGGAAATCATCTCCCAAATATCACTATTTCTAAAACAAGCCATAGAAAGTTGGTTGCAATTTCAATTTCAGCCACCAGAAACGACAGAACAAATAATACAACAAATATTGTGGTTAAACTCAAATATACTAATTGATTTTAAAAAAGAAGGGAAAAAAAGTACAATCTTCGTAAATTATATCATAGGTAGGACTGGTGGCGTTTTGTCACACATGCAGCTAACAAAAACATATGGAAATGTCTGCTCTACCCAAAATTACAACCAACTAATTGCAGCATTACTGCAAAAATGGAAGAGGAAAGTGGAAGGGGGGAAAAGTAAGGAACTTGTCTGTCGGCCCTGCATTAAAGACCATAATTGGACAGGACAACTTCACCGCATCAAAGGGATGATGGACGGGGCCATGTACCGTCAAATCTTGGGTGAGAACCTCCTTCTCTCAGCCAGGGCATTGAAAATGGGTCGTGGATGTGTATTCCAGCATGACAATGACCCAAAACACACGGCCAAGGCAACAAAGGAGTGGCTCAAGAAGAAGCACATTAAGGTCCTGGAGTGGCCTAGCCAGTCTCCAGACCTTAATCCCATAGAAAATCTGTGGAGGGAGCTGAATGTTCGAGTTGCCAAACGTCAGCCTCGAAACCTTAATGACTTGGAGAAGATCTGCAAAGAGGAGTGGAACAAAATCCCTCCTGAGATGTGTGCAAACCTGGTGGCCAACTACCAGAAACGTCTGACCTCTGTGATTGCCATCAAGGGTTTTGACACCAAGGACTAAGTCATGTTTTGCAGAGGGGTCAAATACTTATTTCCCTCATTAAAATGCAAATCAATTCTGCATTTTTGACATGCGTTTTTCTGGATTTTTGTTGATGTTATTCTGTCTCTCACTGTTCAAATAAACCTACCATTAAAATTATAGACTGATCATGTCTTTGTCAGTGGGCAAACGTACAAAATCAGCAGGGGATCAAATACGTTTCTCCTGTGTGTGTGTGTGTGTGTGTGTGTGTGTGTGTGTGTGTGTATATATATATATATATATTACTGAGTAAACACTAAACAGAAACAAAAAAGTTGTGCTGGTCCTTCTGGGGGATTGGAAGTGATGCAGACCATTACATTGATGGAAGCTACAATTTATCTGCAATATTAAAGCCTCATGGGTCTCCCGGTCACGGCCTGCTGTGACACATTCTGGGATCGAACCCGGGTCTGTAGTGACAGCATTTCAATTATTTATTGAATTCAAATTTAAACTTGTAATTACTACCACAAAGATGGCTGCCGGTCCATCCACCGTCGAATGCCAACTTAAATGGTAATGTATATTCTATTATCTATATTTCTATGATTTCAATAGGTTTCATATGGAGGATTGACAGTATAATTTAAAACAGATATTCTCATTCAAGTCAACATTCTCTGATGTGTGGACCTCCAACCATCTTTTTGGTACCATTTGAAAGGCGAAATTAAAATGTTACCTCCATTGACACCCACCTTGCATTCAAGAGTATGTTGTGTCTCAACCGATGGCAGGCACAACACAAAAACTTCAGATATTGTCAAATAGGCTGTAAACTACAACATATGAACGCGTTTCTAGATAATTGACGTTTTAAGGTTAAAAAATTACCAATTTTATTTAAAAAAATCACAATTATTAAATAGTTTGACAATCCTGTTTGTAAGCTTTTAAATTATGTCAATCTCAACCGTTTGTTTATCTTTTCCAGTGATTAAGACATTGATGTCTTATGGTATGCAAAATAGGGAAACTTTGAGCACTTATATTTCTTGAATGTTTTGGCATTCAGGTCCAAAAAGTCACTTTCTGAGCACTTCTACAATGGCCAATATGTATGGAAGGTTTCGTTCAAATAAAAAATGGGTGCTGTCAAAAAGTGATTGAATTCAAATGGATTTACCCTGTTACAGTATCCCAAAACCCCATGATGTGGTGTTATTTGGTCATGGGGACGAGAGGTATGTTTAGGGTACTACAGTTTAAATTATCTAATTTGATATTTCTACAGTATACTAACAACCTGTATACAATTTCTTTGTATCATTTGCGCTACTGGTTCCACTATTATTCCACTGGTAGTGTTTGTTTTAATGAACCCCAAAGGAACAAGTAATTTGTAGGTTTTTATTTTGTTTCTAAGTAAGTACCCGGTCATCTTCTGTACCACAAAATTAAGTATAGTTTTCAGAGTTAGCAGGTCAAGCAGGCACAATTTGTCTGTCTCTTTGGAAGCGTGGGACTGGATTGTCAGAATACAGATTAAAAACAAAACACCCAGACAACCGTTTAGTTACTATTAGACAGCGAGCGCACAGGCCCTTCTTGCACAATACCAACTCACAGTCTCACGTCAGAATTAGACATCTATGTTTCTCAAACGTCAACTTTCGAAATGTTTTAAGGTTAGGCATTAACTCCGAATTTTTAAGGTTAGGCATTAACTCTGAATGGTTAAGGTAAGGGTTAAGGTTTGGGCTTACGCCCCTCCGCCTTCCCCGTCCACAACAGTCTAGCAAACCGAAACCTACTTGAAGGTAAGAGTGCTCACTGTTACCCCTAGTGGCCGGTTTCCACATCATATTCCGACGTCCTCAGACATGGATGAACGTTGAATACTGACTTGTATCACGGGTGACCTGGCTGGTCTTCCTGTGACCTATTGGGTGCGAGGCTGAACACAACAGTGTAGGGTATTGTGATTGTGTTGTCCGCCCTGTTGTGTTCATTGAATGACATTGGCTACCCTTTTATTCTCTGTATGTCATCTTGATTGAATGCAGATGACCATGATATTATGTAGGAAGTTTCAGTGGTCCCATAGTTCTGCTAAAACAGACAACACATCTGTGAGTGTGAAATGTTAGATTTCACACCATAACATGATGTGTAGGCTACATCATGGCAATGGTATGCAAGATGACTCTTAATTTACATTAGATATATTTGTTGATTTAATGAATCATTCTGGTTTCAATTGGCTGATGTGACACTTAATTGCTAAAAAATCTGTCTAGTTTGTTTTGGTAGACTGCTTTGCTGCAGAGGATAGAAATAATTTAGTTCTCAGCCTTCCTCCATATCTAGTGTAATCTAAACGGGAAGGAAAGCCTGGTCCTACATTTGTCGAACACCTGCCAACTCTCATAGCATAATAAACAACCTCTCTCTCTCTCTCTCTCTCTCTCTCCTCGCTCTCTCGCTCTCTCTCTACCTACCTCCACCCCTTCCTTCTATCTCCTTCACTCTCTCGTGTAGGATGACCGGCCGAAGATTGACAAACCTTCAGTAAGTAAAACTAATGAATGTGGATATCAGGCAACTGTATCTCAAATGTGAAAATGTACGCTACTCATATTCCAGCACACATAGTATGTTTTTGCTCCAACATGAATGAAAGTCACCAACGTTTCGACAGCATGCTGCCTTAATCAAGATTTATTTTGTAAACACTGTAGTTTACATGGACAGCACATCTGACACATTTACACTGCATCATAAAGATAGGCCTACTCAAAGATATGGAGACAAACATGTCAATATTTGTGGTGGCCTCACAGAGTTTCCTTTTCTTACAGGAACCAATCAAGGAAACCTCAAGGTACGTAGGCACCCCTGATGCTTTTTTCAGTTTCTTGGTTTTAAATAAGTTAGAATTCATTTTGCAAGTTTGCATCTGAATGAGTAATGGATGCTTCAGATGCTTGTTTGTGTTTATGTAAGGAAATGTGCTTCCTCATATATGTTTAGAATTCTATGGGAGGATTTTTCAAATGCAAGACAGTCCTGCAGTCTGCCCAAACCTATTGTTTAATCCAAAGTTTGAATCGCGTGCCATTGTCTTGCTATTCTGTAAAGTAAGAACTGAAGACACGCGCAATTGGTTGTCGAGGGGCAGACTAACGAATAACCTACTGCCGATGTTCCCTTGAGCAAGGAACTTAAACCCCTAAACTGCTCATTGGGCACTGCACTGCGGTTGCCCTCTGCTCCAGCCTCTCCAACCTAATGTTTGTTTGTGTGTGTATACCAGAGGGGTTGGGTAAAAGCAGATGACAAATTACAATCTGGTCTAATAAAGTATCTTATATTTATTCCAGTGATTTAATGGGGAACCAATATTGCTATTCTATGACATTAGGGTTTTATCACCTTTGTACCCTTTCAGCTGACGGTTTTACTGGTGTATTGTATCTGAGCTCTTGTTGTTCCTCTCTCCTCAACAGTTGGTGGACAAACTGGTTGTTCCCCGGTTTGGCTGCGGCTGTCGTCACGGTGATGTACCGCATGTACACGTCCGAGGAGAAGTAACTGCGCCATCCGTCCGTCACCCTTGCCAATCAAATGTCAATCAAAATAACTGGCTTCAGAATGACAGCTACAGAGCCTGCGTTTGATCCCTGAGAAACCATTGCTGCCTTTTGGGATTTGTACAGCTCATATGCAGTACTACAGTACCCAGGATTAATGTAATGTTTTTCATCCAATCACTCGGTATTATGTTAATGAAGGCATATACATTAGTTGTTATTGTGTTAACCTTCTTTTTCAACTCCTGATTTACATATTGATATATACAGTCATGTGAAAAAGTATGTACACCCCCATGGAAAGTTTGTTTTGTACATATTTGGACAGATGGATATGTAATCTTCACTTCAACACTATTGACAGATAAAGTTAACCTAATTTAACCAATGACACTGAAATATTATACTTTGCAATCATTTATTCATCAAAAATCAACAGAAATGCAATTCCATAGTGCGGAAAAAATAAGTAGACCCCTAGTTTCAATAGCTGGTGTTGCCCCCTTTGGCTGAAATAACTTCATGTAGTCGTTTCTTGTAACTGTCTATCAGTCTCTTACATCGACTGGGAGGAATTTTTGCCCAATCTTCTTTACAGTACTCCTTCAACTGTGTCATGTTCGAGGGCTTTCTTGCATGCACAGCCTGCTTCAAGTCCTCCCACTGCATTTTGACAGGATTGAGATCTGGGTTTGACTCGGCCATTCCATAACATTTCTTATTTTTGAGCCATTCTGTTGTAGCTTTGCTTGTGTGTTTTGGATCATTGTCCTGTTGCAAGATCCATGTTCGGTTCAGCTTCAGCTTTTTGACAGATGGCCTCGCATTCTCCTCAAGAATTCTCTGGTACATTATGGAATTCATGGTTGACTCAATGATGGCAAGTTGGCCTTGCCCTGAGGCAGCAAAGCAGCCCCAGACCACAATGCTACCGCCTCCATGCTTTACGGTTGGTATAAGGTTCTTCTGTTCAAAGGCAGTGTTTCGTTTTCGCCAAACATGGCGTCTTGCATTGCGGCCAAACAACTCCACCTTTGACTCATCTGCCCAGAGTTCACTGTTCAGTTAGTTTTGGTCTTTACCCAGGTGTTGTCTGGCAAATGTCAGTCGTGTCTTGATTTTCTTTTTTGAGAACAGAGGCTTCTTTCTTCCTGACCTCCCATGTAGGCCAAGTTTGTGCACTCTCTTTCTGACAGTTAACTCATGCACTTTGACATTGATTGTGGCAAAAGAGGCCTGTAGATCCCTTGATGTTACCCTGGGGATCTTAGATACTTCTATGAGCATCTTTCGGTCAGCTCTTGGGCTTAATTTGGTAGATTGCCAGTGGTCTGGAATTTTCTCAATTTGTGACTCATTTCAGGAAACTAGCCGTATGTCACACGTCACTACTTCACAGGAGAGCCATTTGAACGTAAACTTTTGCAGAGAGATCGAGTTTCGAAATCAGTGGAATTAGAGTATGATAGCTAAGGAGATGGAGAAAAGACCTGTCTCTGGATTACATGTTGAAACTAAGGGCAACCATGACAGAGCGGGAGATGCGTCCATCCAAGATAATCTAGCTAGCTACGTTTTCAGATATTGCACGTTTCTAATTTTGTCAGAAAGTCGTTTTCATTTCAAGTTAAAGTGTACTGTTAGCTAGCTAGATGGTTGGCTTGCTAGGTAATGTTACGTGTATGATCTGTGTAGTAATATTATTCGTATATCAGAGCCATTTGCTTTTCTAGTTATAGCCTAATGTTAGCTAGTTAACATTGAACCTGGTTGGTTAGCTACCTGCAGATTCATGCAGGGTAGTAACGTCATAAATTGGGATTATGGTTCATTGTTTAGCTAGCTAGCTAGCTAGTAGCTACATGTCTTAACAAAAGACACTATGCAAGTAAACATTTCAATAGAATGTTCATGATGTCAATGCGACAACTGTTGATAGACGTAGCTGGTAAATTCGCTCTGGCTATCTACTCCGATTTCAGAGCACTCTCATCTGAGTGTAACTGAGAATAACTGACGAATTTACGAACGCTCAACACCCGTTGAATATGGCCGGTGTCAGTAAACGTTGGCAAAAAAGCATAATTAAATTGTTGCCAGCAGCACAGTTGCAGTCACCAACGCTCTGGATAACATAAAAACAGCTTAACCAGCTCTGCTAGGGCGAGTAAAATGGTCAGTGAGCTGTTCTGGAAGTAGCTAGCAAGCTAGCCAACGTTAGCCAATTAGCTTGGGTGCTTGACTGCTGTTGTTAGGAAGAATGCTCGGATCAACCCTGCTCCTCGGCCAGAGCGTCCAGTGTGCGCTCTGAACGCTCCGAGAGCGAAACGCTCTGAATTTACTAACGGACAATATGACAACGCTCTGAATTTACGGGCTGGGCTATAGCTTAAGAGGGTGTGAACAACGCTGAATGGGTGTAGACAAAGAAGACCTCTCCAATGGGTGTACCAAAACATTCAGAGTCGATTTTCTCAAAAGTGAGGTTACAAGTTTATCAACTTTCAAAGCAGAATTACTTTCTCATTGTTCCTCAACTGTATTGTATGATATAACGTTTTAATGCTCTGAGTCTCTACTTTCATTGAATAAAAAAAAACACTATTTCAAATTTTGCTACATAAGACCGAATCGAGCCGGTTGGTCACATTTGTAGATGATCCATCCGACAGTGGAATTATGTACTTCGAATTGCTTGGAAATGGATTTGTAACCCCTCACAGTCTCATGGGCATCAATAATGTTTCTTCTGAGGGCCTCGGAGAGGCCTTTTGATCTTGGCATGATGTGTTACCACACACCCATATGGTTAAGACCAAACCAGACCAAGTTTCTAGTCTTTATGGAAGGCTGGACCCTCCCAAGTTACTCTTTAATGATTTTCTAATCATTTGCACTTGTTTTGGTGAACCTGATTCAAATTTTTGCCATTTTATGTGATGGTAAAGGTAGGGGTGTACCAACTTTTTCCACAAAAGGAAATATGCAATTAAAATAAACAAAAATGCAAACATTTTCAAAGATTACATTTTTTGTGTGTGATTTGATAGATTGGGTTACCTTTATCAATGAATGTGGTTGGAATTTAGCTCAAATACTTAGGTTGGAGTCATTAAAACTCACATATTTCTTGTTAACAAACTATAGTTTTGGCAAGTTGGTTAGGACATCTACTTTGTGCATGACACAAGTAATTTTTCCAACAATTGTTTACAGACAGATTAAATTCACTTATAATTCACTGTATCACAATTCCAGTGGGTCTGAAGTTTACATACACTAAGTTGACTGTGCCTTTAAACAGCTTGGAAAATTCCAGAAAATGATGTCATGGCTTTAGAAGCTTCTGATAGGCTAATTGACATCATTTGAGTCAATTGGAGGTGTACCTGTGGATGTATTTCAAGGCCTACCTTCAAACTCAGTGCCTCTTTGCTTGACATCATGGGAAAATCTAAACAAATCAGTCAAGACCTCCGAAAAATAATTGTAGACCTCCACAAGTCTGGTTCATCCTTGGGAGCAATTTCCAAACGCCTGAAGGTACCACGTTCATCTGTACAAACAATAGTACGCAAGTATAAACACCATGGGACCACGCAGCTGTCATACCGCTCAGGAAGGAGACGCGTTCTGTCTCCTAGAGAAGAACGTACTTTGGTGCGAAAACTGCAAATCAATCCCAGAACAACAGCAAATGACCTTGTGAAGATGCTGGAGGAAACAGGTACAAAAGTATCTATATCCACAGTAAAACAAGTCCTATAGTCGACATAACCTGAAAGGCCAAAACTGCCATAAAAAACCCAGACTACGGTTTGCAACTGCACATGGGGACAAAGATCGTACTTTTTGGAGAAATGTCCTCTGGTCTGATGAAAAAAAAATAGAACTGTTTGGCCATAATGACCATCGTTATGTTTGGAGGAAAAAGGGGGTTGCTTGCAAGCCGAAGAACACCATCCCAACCGTGAAGCACAGGGGTGGCAGCATCCTGCTGTGGGGGTGCTTTGCTGCAGGAGGGACTGGTGCGCTTCACAAAATAGATGGCATCATGAGGAAGGAAAATCATGTGGATATATTGAACAACATCTCAAGACATCGTCAGGAAGTTAAAGCTTGGTCGCAAATGGGTCTTCCAAATGGACAATGACCCCAAGCATACTTCCAAAGTTGTGGCAAAATGGCTTAAGGTCAACAAAGTCAAGGTATTGGAGTGGCCATCACAAAGCCCTGACCTCAATCCTATAGAACATTTGTGGGCAGAACTGAAAAAGCGTGTGCGAACAAGGAGGCCTACAAACCTGACTCAGTTACACCAGCTCTGTCAGGAGGAATGGGCTAGAATTCACCCAACTTATTGTGGGAAGCTTGTGGAAGGCTACCCGAAATGTTTGACCCAAGTGAAACAATTTAAAGGCAATGCTACCAAACACTAATTGAGTGTATGTAAACTTCTGACCCACTGGGAATGTGATGAAAGAAATAAAAGCTGAAATAAATCATTCTCTCTACTATTATTCTGACATTTCACATTCTTAAAATAAAGTGGTGATCCTAACTGACCTAAGACAGGGAATTTTTACTAGGATTAAATGTCAGGAATTGTGAAAAACTGAGTTTAAATGTATTTGGCTAAGGTGTATGTAAACTTCTGACTTCAACTGTATATAGACCCCTTTCCAGGGGGTGTACTTACTTTTTCACATGACTGTATATATAAATAAAATACTTATTGACATATTGAGATATTTTACACAAATGTACATTCATGTATTGACAATATAAAATTGAAATATACAGTTAACTGCCTAAATAAAGGTAACCCCAACATAAGGTTTCTTAATAGGGCATTGGGCCAGCTCGAGCCAGAACAGCTAGTACTCTGTCTGGAACTCGAGGGATGCGACACCATTCTTCCACGAGAAATTCCATCATTTGGTGCTTTGTAGATGGTGGTGGAAACGCTGTCTCAGGCGCCGCTCCAGAATCTCCCATAAG